CCTTGACTTCGTTCCACTTGTCGGTGACCTTGCCAAAGAAGCCATCATCTTCATCGTTGTCATTAGAAGAAGCGTCGCTGTCAGTGTCGAGAACGTTATGGCCAATCATTGAAGTGTTGAGCTAAACTGTCAGCCTGAGTTTTTGAGAAGTTGCTTCAGACCTACCCGTGCAACAGAGTATTCTTCCATAAACCCTTCCTTGTGACCAGCAAAAAGGCAGAGCATTGAGAGGATAAAGGCCACCATGGACAACACCAGGGGCAAGAGGACGAAGAACCTCGACAACATGGTTAAGGCGTATGATACTGCGAAAGCGGAGTGTCTTCAAGTTGTAGAAATACGAAAATCAACAATTCAAAGGAATGTCCAGTAGACACCGGGGAATTCGTGTTGACTTTGCGGGTGGTGTAGTGAAATAAATACTTCGCTAGTACCGAGACCCTGTCCATCAATGATGCAAACTCCGACAGCGCATAACCAAGGATGATTCGCGCACAGAGCTTCAGAAGAGTCTACCAAGCCAAGCTAAAAGGAGCACAAACGCCAGAGATTCAGAACAAGCTCAAGGCCGTGTTCATGAGCGCATCGCCGTGCAAATCATGGCCCCAAACAACGGCCAAATCCGAAACAGACCAATCATACATTGAGCGCTTGCGTCACTGGTTGGGCTGCTTCTTTTGTTTCTTTTCTTGGCTGGGGATTCTTTGAGGGTTGCATCGAGAATGGCTGGGAAAACCGGTTGTGCAGGGGTCGGGGCTAGGATGGACGTCAGCCACTTGATCAATCGGCAGTGGACGCGTGTGAAACAAAAGGGAACAGGGGTTAAGAATTGGGTCTGCTTGATTAATCATCGTTTCTATGTTTGTTCTTTATTTCGTGAAAGAGGCCTCTTTCTCGTATTTGATGTCCTGTTGATGGTGGACCGTATGGGTCAGTTGACTCAATCGAAGATGGATATGGACCCTGAATATCTTCATTAGAGTTGTGCATAGCGAAAGCGGGTGAGGCTTGCCGATGGCCCTGTCGAGACGTGATTCACTGCCTCGCTTCTTTGATGCTTGCAAGAGTGAAAGACTCTGATGAATCAACAACTCAGTGGCCGTCAGTCTGCTCAGACCTGCTTCGTGTCTTCTCTTCTAGCGATAAGTGCCGATAATACTGAGAGATTGTCCTTCGACCGTACGGAGCATCTGTAGTCTCCCAACCTTGTTATTCTGACTATCCTCGTCCACTCGGCATCCAAGAGCGGGTCATCCGCTCGTCTATCCGGTCGGCTTCCGTAGCTCAGTTGGTTAGAGCGTCGTACTAATACTTCAATCCGAGTGTTCGGTAATGCGAAGGTCTCAGGTTCAAGCCCTGGCGGGAGCAATCCCAACGCCTTCCGGATGTTTCTTTTTGTCGATTTCTACGATTCTCGAAGAGTGGTTGTGGTCGTGATGTTGATTGGTGATCAAGTGGCTAGCGTTAAGTAACGATAGACGCGTAGTGTATGTAGCACTGTGAGCAAACATGAACTATTTGTTACTCAGACTTGTATGTCAATGACTATCGGAATGATCGAGTCTTTCTTTGTCATACTGAACATTGGGCCAAAGGCAACCATGATCCCAGTTGCTTCGACCTCAAGGCTCCAAGTAACACTGAGCATTGTAAGCTCGACTAGCTTACACAGCCGATCCCTCTATAGGAACATATTCTCACGGGCTTACTTAACCAAGTTACAGCGCTACACTCATTTTTCCAGGCGCTGAACTCAGAGTCGTACCATCGAATGAGTTCCCTGACCCAAGAATGCGTCGTCAACTATTGATGATCCACGTTGCCAACGACCCACGTATGACGAGTACAGAGCCTAAATAAAGATGGAAAAAATGTCGCACAACTTCAACAGAGGTTAGAGACGTGGATTATCTCCATTGAAGCAGATAAATGACTCGTTTGCTTCTGGCTCTTCTTCCACCACTTAGAGCAGTGCTCAATGGGTGGTTTTCAGCCATATTTCAAGCCTCGAACTTTACTGCTCAAAGACGAGTTAAGAAAATGAAGCTTATTCTTGATCCAAGCCACTTTGCAATGCTGGAGACTTGCGCTGTAATACTACCATCGGTATCCCTGCTTGAATCGATATTGTAGCTTCGAAATTGGGTGGTCATGTTTCAGGAGCCGCTGTCAAGATCTTAGCCAAAGCCAAGACACGGTTATGCTCCCCGGAATCTTCTTCCCGGGGTAACTGACATGGTTGCTATTTTGGGTTGTCTCATCACCACTCTCTGGGGTTGTTTCCATTCCGATTTTTTCAAGTCATTCCTGTAACGAATTGCTTCGAAATTCCTTCTGGTCGTTTCTATTGTCGTTACCAACGGCCAACGGCTACCGGCAAAACGCGCATCCTTGGCCCGAATTGACTTTTCATGGCGTCCTTCGATCCAAAGTCTACGAATCCGAATCCACACTTACACAGACTTCCTCACACTGGCTGCCTCGATGCTGAACCACGTATTTCGCACTATGAGCTCACCATGAACACAGTGTATGGGAGTGACACGTCCCCGATCTTTCTTTTATCCCGCGAGTGGCGTGTTAGACTTTTTATCGACGACTGATCGGGAAACTGGTGAGGGCACCTCAACAACTGACGGGCTGACGGAGAGACTTCAGATGGACCTATGTTGCCACTGGTTTGCTAGGTGGATTCGTAAGTGACCTTGTATTCTTGGAGTAACTATACAAGTTGAGTGAAGAGTCTGCCTCGATCGGGCCTCGAATTGGTTCGGATGCGTGCGTGTCTGCGTGTACCTGCATGAGTACGTAGAATTATTCATCTTCGACGTGTCTTCGATTTAGTTGTGGTTCACCTTCTTAAGACAATCTCATTTCCGTCTCTCTTCTCTTTCCTGTCCATCTTCCATATTTCTGTCCTGTACCTTTCTCTTTTTCCCAAGGACATACTCTCGTTACTATAGTCCAGAGTTTCTTGTATTTGTGTTACACTATTACCATCCTATTAGTCACAATGCCTTCCATCAACAGTCTCCTCACAATGGCCCTCGCAGGCTCGGCCAGCGCTGCGTTCCAAGGATTCAACTACGGCTCGACGTTCACAGACGGAACAGTGAAGGCTCAGTCCGACTTTGAGAACGAGTTCAAGACCGCCGCTGGTCTCGAGGGCACCGGTGGCGCCTTCACCAGTGCTCGCCTCTACACCATGATCCAGGGTGGCTCAACCAACCAACCCATCTCTGCTATTCCCGCTGCCATCAAGACCAAGACCAGTCTGCTATTTGGTCTCTGGGCTTCTGGTGACGGCTTTGCCAACGAGATCGCCGCTCTTAAGAACACTGTAGACCAATACTGTGGACAGCTTGACGACCTTGTCGCAGGTATTTCTGTTGGCAGTGAGGATCTCTACCGTATTTCTCCTACTGGTATCAAGGCCAATGAGAACCCGGGTGCCAACCCTGATACCCTCGTCGACTACATCAAGCAGACTCGTGCTGCTATCAAGGGCACTTGCCTTGAATCCGTCCCTATCGGCCATGTCGATACATGGACCGCCTATGCTAATGCTTCCAACAATGCTGTCATCGAGGCCTGTGACTGGCTTGGCATGGATGCTTATCCTTACTTTGAAGATACCAAGAACAACCCCATTTCAGAGGGTGCAAACCTCTTCAAGGCTGCCTGGAACGAAGTCAAGGCTGTTGCTAAGGGAAAGGAGATCTGGGTCACTGAGACAGGATGGCCCGTCAGCGGTAAGACATATGGCAAGGCTGTTCCCTCTACCAAGAATGCTCGCACTTTCTATGAAGATGTCGGTTGCCCTATGTTTGGAGATATCAATGTCTGGTGGTACACACTCCAGGATTCTGCTCCTCAGACCCCCAACCCCAGCTTTGGCGTCATTGGCTCCGAGTTGACCGAGAAGCCCCTTTACGACCTCAGCTGTGATGAGAAGAGCAAGAAGGGAACTCTGGTCAGCCGCAGCAATGATGCGTCCGGCAACGTTGAGCACCGCTTCGTCAGCCCCTCTTTCGCAACTGGTAACTATACCAACGGAACTGTGCCTGTCGTGTCTGGCACTTCCACTTCTCTTGTGCCCACTCCCTCTTCTACCTCCGGCAACGGTGGTTCTGCTACAACCCCTCAGCCTGGCAGCGGTGCTCAGCAACTCAACTCAATGGGTGCTGCTGCTGTAGCATTCATTCTTGCCGCTGCTCTATTGTAAGCGGGAGTTTTATGATTGAGTTATGACTTCTTGGATATAGAATCGGAATTGGTAATGGTTATCGGGGAAGGACAAAAACAAGGCGCACCTGAGTACATACATATGAGCACATGATTTACCAATGAGTCGACATGTGTATACGATGAGAATTGAATAATATGAGTTCTAAAATTTTGAGGCATCGGTCGCTTGTGCCATTCGATGAGTCAGTTGACAGTGAGAAAAGGTTATGGGAGCAGAGCTTCGTCTGGTGGAGTTCACGAGCGAATGATCCCTAACATCTTTACAGAAAAGACAGCAATATAACATACTTGTCTGTGATAGAGAAGAGCAGCTGTTCAAGACAGGGACACGATTTTATAATACTTTATACCTTTATATCTTCCGGGATAGGTGATGAAAAAGTCTATCCACGGCACTCCAGATTCTGACAGTAATTGGCCGAGAGAGCTCGTGCCCTTCCTCACCAAGAGATCCAATGTGAGACCTGATGACCATATCATCATAAGCTTTAGGATAATATTATCTAAATTAAGGTAAGGCTTAATAAACTAAATATTAGAGAAACCTCATCTAAATTATAAAATATTTCCTAAAATAATCTTAAAGCTCGCTATCATTTATTTATATTGGTCACGCAAAGCAGATCAGATAAAAGTCCAACTGAATGAATTGTGTATTCCATCTTCTTGGCTGCGCAAGCGCAAGGGATGGTTTACAGCATCGGCGTATCTCATTGTAGTGGTTGTACTAGTATGAAAAGACCCAGAACCCTTTACTCCAGCTGCATTGCCTCAACCTCCTTAGAGACCTTATCTGCCAACTTCTCATCGGCCTTCTTCTTCTTATTGTTCTTCTTGTTTTTCTTTTTCTCGACCCGTCCAGTTGCCTATAGGCCTAAGTTAGTAAGTTATCATAATCTGATAAAGGTAGAACTTACAACCCGGAAGGTGCATCCGTTTGGGGCCAACTGGCCCTCAAGGCTCAAGATGATAATAGTGTTGGCTAAGAATAGTTAGTATGTATAACTTGCATAATTCATAAATAAGATACTTACGAACGAGATGACACGTTTCAGCCGTGTGATTGGCCTTCTTGCAATACGAACAAAACAGCCGAGATCTCTTCTTCTTGGCGACTGGGACTTCGGCCTTCGGCCTTCGCACAGGGTTTGAGTGATGTCTGTAGGAAGCCAAGAGTCAAGTCAATAAAGGATGAAGGTAAAAGTGCCAAAAGATCGTGAGCCCTTGGCCGGCCATCTGGTGTGCAGTGACGGCCACTGACAAGAAGTGAGGTGCGGCATACAGCTGGACAACTCGGATGAAAGAACATGGAATAGAACGTACAAAAGAGGTAGGGCGAATGAAGGGATCGTCGACTTACGTTTATTTTGTTGATGGCGATAATAATGGTGATGGCTGAAGAAGAAAAGAGAGAAGAAGTCGTCACTTGCAGTTGTTGTTGCTGAGAATGAACAAGGGAAGGAACACTTTAGGTCATCAACTTGCAGTTACCGTTGGTGTTGATTGCCAAGGTACTAAGGTAGGTATCTCAATGAAGAAGGAACTACTTTCTCTGCTAACTACCTAGGTACCTACTTAAATTCATCAAATCCACAGGATGTGATTAACTTCATCAACTGGGACTTATATCTCTGCTCGCGTGACCAACACGAACAAACGAACAAAGATAATCTTGGGACCATTTTAGGAAGCATTGTCAAAAATCAGAGGGGTTCCCTAGTATTTAGTTTATTGAGTCTCAATTTAGATAATATCATCCTAAGCTTATGATGATATGGTTATCAGGTTTCATTTGGGTTTCTTGATGAGGGCGTCAATAGCTCTGGAGCTCCCCTGCATAGAGTGGATACTTCAGCCTTCAGCTGGGCGCGCAACATGCTCATTGGCCGATTCAGATTGGCATCCAAGCCCCTCCCCCTGGCTTATCCGATCTGCCTCTAGTCAAGGAATATCCCCATTTCATCCTCAGCTTCAACTTCAACTTTGACTTGGACTTGGATTGAAACAATACAAGTCAAGTTGAGTTGTTCTTTTTGGCCTCTTGCTCCCGGTTTTATTCTTATTGAACAGGGCCATTCGTTCATTTGCCTTGTTTTTTTGTTGGTCTTTCTCTTTACTTTTTATACAACCAAGCTGTCTTTGTTAAGGACAGATATAGACATGGCGCTCACCCGTAGGAGCGTTGTTTGCTCGGCTGTCTGTCTTGCACTTCTCGTCGGCCTTGCATACGCGGGCCATGATCACGAACATGTTGAGGCTGTGAATAATGCCAATATTGACAACATGAGCCTCGAGGAGCTCGACACCCAACTCCAGGTACACCAAGTTTAGCTCTCCCTCGAAATGTCCTGTGCTGACTCGATCCTCCAGACCTGCCCAATTGTCGAGCAACTCAATGCCGCAAAGCACGCACACCATGCTGCCGCCCCCTCGTCGATGACCTCGCGCCTCTTCGCCGTTCTCTTCCCTGGTTCACCCGCCGTAAATGCCCTCCTTGCGACCCTCTACATCTCCGGCCCGCCAAACTTCCTTCTCGCCCTCTGCCCGACCAACATTGATCCTGCTTCTCTTTCCGTCATGGTTGCTTTTGCTGTGGGCGGTCTTCTCGGCGACACTCTTTTCCATCTTCTCCCCGAGATCTTTGTTGGCGAGGACCATGATGAGGCTGTCAAGTTCGTACTTGTCGAGCCTAATCGTAACCTTGTGCTTGGATTGGGTATCTTGGTGGGCTTTATGACATTCGTCGCTATGGATAAGGGCCTACGAATTGCTACAGGTGGAGCTGGTCATGACCACTCCCACGGACATGGTGATGCGCACACTCATTCTCACGGTGAGGATAAGGCAGTTTCTTCAGGTGTTGATGCTACAGATAGTCTTGTCAAGTCTCGCAAGAAGGGTAATGAGGACAAGGGTGCTGTTGTTGCCAATGCTGTTGAGAAGCCCGAGAAGGAAATCAACCCTAGCGTCAAGCTTGGCGGCTACTTGAACCTTATGTATGTTGATTTCACGGCTTTGATCTTTTGAAACTGTACTAACACTTACAGTGCCGACTTTACACACAACATCACCGACGGCTTGGCCATGTCTGCCAGTTTCTATGCCTCTCCTACCATCGGAGCTACCACTACCGTAGCAGTCTTCTTCCACGAGATCCCACACGAGGTTGGCGATTTCGCTCTTCTCATTCAGTCCGGCTTTTCTAAGCGAGCTGCTATGGGCTCGCAATTTATCACTGCCTTGGGTGCTCTCCTCGGTACGCTCATTGGCATTGCTATTCAGGAGTTCGGTAGCCCTAGCAGTGACATCCCCATGGGCCGTAATGAGGGTATCTGGGGAACTAGCCTGGTAAGTTATACAAACACTCACACCCCGGAATAATTTGCTGATTTGTTGTAGACATGGGGTGATATGCTTCTTCCCTTCACTGCCGGTACATTCCTCTACGTTGGAACCGTTGCCGTCATCCCTGAGCTTCTTGAGACTGGTCCTAACAAGGCTAAGGAGCTTAAGAATATGCTTGTTCAGTTCTCTGCCGTGGCTATTGGCGCTGGCATTATGTTGTATATTTCGTGGCACGACTAGAGTATATGTGAGTGGATGTATGTGATGAGAGCGGTGTATTAGATGAAGCGGCGGGTATAGATATGAGTATGAGATATCATGGGTTTGTCATGCATCGTTTTGATAAATGTCTTTCTCACGGGGAATGAGTGTGCCTGAGAATAGTCTAAGCTGATTTGATCTCCTCCTGGTGGTTTGAGAGTCCGGGAAATCAATTTTTAATGATGAATCTATAGAGTCGAGGCTTAAGTCCAGGCCTAGGAACTTCAAAGCCTGTAACAAGAGAATTATGCCCTCACATCTTGTGTTCTGTTTGATGCCTGCATCTTAACAATAAATCTAGGTTAAATCTTGGTTCTTGTTCCTTTGTCATAAATCAAGTCCGCTGACTTCATACTGGTACTGTTCGAAGATATCTTTCAGCGAATTTTCACCTCGGACTCGACCTTAGGGTATGTCTCAAAAGATTGAAATTCAGGATAAACAAGGAGATTCTTGTCTAGGCTGTTCTTTCTTTCCATCCGTTTGTCCTTTTACTGCGAGATCTCTTAAGTTCTACTACTTGGCTTCTCGGTGCCGATAATACTGCACAATTCGCTTTATTAACATTGCTGATTGGAAGAGTCTGCTTAGCATGGGTGTCACTGCTCCATTTCCACCCAAAACTGTCGAACATCAAATGTTTTTCTACATGTCAATGGCAATCGGACGTGTATTGACGACCCTGTATCAGCAAGTGCAACTGGTCTAGTAGTAGAACAGCAGAACAGCATTGTAATATTACTGCAGGAGTATTGTTGGTTGATGCTCTGAATAGGCTGAGAAAATGCTCCTGTTTAGGGTAGTAAGGGTCTTCATTCTTCTTTGGAATCATCGCCAATGAAGAGAAACGGCTGAGACTTAATAGTGACCATCACGAACAGTTCCCTCGATTATCGAATATTCTCGCAGTATCCATTGAATGCGGTGAGTGGGTTAATGTTGAAGAAATTCTTGTTTCCTTTCTACCATGTGTCACCACTGAAATATGAACTGGTGAGAACCTCATCAAGCGGATGGAATCAAAGATAACCCCACAAGCTCTCAATCTATCACTGAAAAGAATCACTAATCAACATTGACACTGAGCCGCAATTTCACTAAGCACCACCGCTGATTAATGTTATCAGATCAACGAAATAAGCCTTTTGCTCGGCAACCGGACACCCACCATCAGATCTTTTACAAGCCAATGATACGGCAGAGCACAAGCCCCGGGATGGTCCTTGGACCCCTAAAACGGTACTTGTCGAGCAAAAAGCCCAGGGCTAGGGCATCTACATGCATGGCGGCTATATCCATAGTAGGTGGACCGCGGGTGAGCGACGCATCACCAGATGGAATGAGTTAGAGCCTCATTAGTGCGGACGACATGGGGCTGTTTGCGAATGTGTTTCCGGTATCCGGAAAGTGGAAAGATCAGGGGGGTCTACGGGTTGATGGAATGAGCATAAGAGTCAGAGATGGAGAATGGAAAAGAAACCATTTGCCATATAATATCACCATATGGAGCAGTGGCAGTGGAGTGTAAGGTGCTTCCTCGGTATATATGATGCAGGACAAGAAACCATCTACGTCTGAGCTTGCGTGTGCCTCCACGAGTGGCACACAATCTCTTGCCCTGAGCGCGGCAATGTCATGTCGCGATAGAAACGTGGAGAGTGGATCGCGATCAAGGTGAAGCCACTCATACCGAGAGTGACCTGTGCTGAATGAGTTGGCTCTTGGCTTCCTAATTAACACAAGCCCAGGTGGGTTTAACGGTGGGTCAAAGGAAGAAGAGAATTTTTCAGGTCTGCTGAGCTTGAGTGCAATATCGCTAGGTGTAGCTATCGTGAAGAGGGAAGAAAGTGTCAATATCGGAATTGAGACCGGCTGAGTGAAAGGTGGATATTCAAGACGAAGAGGTTGGAGGGGAATGAAGAAAAAAAAAAGGGGAGATAGGTGTGAGTCGAGTCAAGGTTTGACTCACCGACTCCAAGATGGGGGCGAAAAGGGTAACCAGGAGAAGGAAAAGGGTTGAAACGAGGGCTGAAAACACACAAATGGTGTATGGCGATAGCTGTGGGAACAGAAGTTGAAGTTGGTTCAACTATCGTGAGGTTGAATCTTGGTGTTTTGGCGTTTCAACGACGATCAACACCTTCAGATCAACAAGACAGTTTGTGCCTGGCCAAAAGGAGAAGGCATGCAAGGGCCGTTAGCCAACCAACTGACACGAAGCCGGCTCGGAGACGGTGAGAAGATCGCTTCGGAGACTAGCACCATCTCCAGTTTCTGTTAGCTACAGTAGCTTCAAAACTCTGCATGAGGATGGGCTGTTCCACTTCTGCAGAGCGGCCTGAGCTTCCCCGTATTATCTCGAAATTTGCTTCTCCCCGCATCTGGGCTTGAATGCTCTGTTCGTGATCTTCTGCCGGTAGCTCAAGAGCCCATATTTACTACGACTGTGATTGTGGTGGCAGGATTCTGTTGCGTAAAAGAACAAAGTGGGACGGGGAACGTTCCCCAGAGTAAAGATGCACGTCTAGTTGTGAGATTTCCTAATTGATACTCGCGAGTTGTGGACATCTGACGATATTGGACCCTGACATGGCGAAACGAGAATTTCTATCCAGCCACGCTTCCTAAATAAGAACACGTTGTTTGCTGTTACGGTGCGGGATGCCCGTCGAAAATCGGCCATTGGCGGCGGCATCGTGCGGCATCGTGATGGCGTGGGTGGATGGTCTCAACTCATGGTGGGAGGGGCAATTGGAGAAAAAAATAGCCGCCAGCGAAGGAGAAAGGGATAATACATAATAAGGGAGGGAGGGTCAAGACTGGGGGGTGTAACGGAGTGGTGAAAACAGTGAGTAACAATAACACATAAGTTGACGCCATGAGGGGGAAGGAAATAGAAATGAAAATGAAAATGAAGCCCACGATGCAAAACGAGACGCTGCCACGCAACCCTTCGAATCGTGAACTCGGGGTCCTTTCGCCAACGCTGACTCGTGGGGGGCTTCACTAAAAGGTAGCTATCCCCAGGCGAAGCGGTCCCCATCTCCAAAGCTTATACAGCCCTTCTCGTCCTGAC